CAAGTTTTGATACCTAACGAGATGTGTCGAACGCTGCCTAGCCGAGGTGAATCCGTCGATTGATTTCTCGGATGAAGTTCAACTTACCAAGTTGGACTGTTTCGTGGATATAAAATCACCCTGTCTTACACCTCTGTACGGTAAGATGAGTTTTGTACTGTGGTCCTGTAGTCGAATAGCCATCGTAGCTCTACTGTACAAACACCTACCTAGTTACGTGGCATGTACCTTTGGTATGTGTTTACTTTGATGATTAGTTATTTTTGAGCATTTTATACTTTTTAAAGAAATAAAACAAATATTATGTTTTATAAGAAAATTTATAATAGGGGTTATATATGTAGATTTTTAACGTCACCACCAAAATTGCCTTTTCCATACTTAAATTCGTCGTTGGCGCCGCAAAGGGGTGAACCTCAATTTTTCAAAAAATTACAGGAGAGCAAGAAAACCTTCATTATTCCCCGATTGCTAGCTTTTTTATGAGAAAATTAAATATATTAGATTTAATGGCAAACTACAAATAAGATTAATTTTCTGATGAAGAAAAGCTAGTAATCGGGGAATAATAAATGTTTTCTTGCTCTCCCATAATTTTTTGAAAAATTGAGGTTAGCCACGAATTGCATATGGATAAATATCCCAATTCAGAATAAATTATTTGCAGGCTATATAAATAAATAAAAAAAAAATGTTCTTTGTGAGATTCGAACTCGCAGCTCGCCCTACATACTGATACGATAACACACTGATATTGCGTTACCAATCCATCAAATCAATTTTAATCATAAATACTATTATCACAGATTAAAAAGAAAATATAAAACAAAACGCATTGATCATGGGTGATGATAGTCATAGTCATGAAGTCTTAAAAATTATTCAGACGTCCGGAAGTGGGTCAAAACTGATTTTTAAAATTCCATTCCATTCATACATACATTTATATATGCATACATACATACATATATGAATACATACAGATAATGCCAATAAAAGCGTGTTCATAAACTGACATTTCAAGCTCACACGCTAAGCGAACTGCCCTATGGAGTTTTGTACCATCGAGTGACATTGTACGACAAAACGTAGTTCCATTTATGCCCGCTAGGGGCACTGTTTATACTCATATATCCATTGAATTTTACGACGATGATGCGGAAAAATTAGTGTAGAGTATAAAATCATGCTAATATAACTGTAAAATTGTTGTATGATTTTGATTTAAGAGGACTACAAGAGCTAAGTGACCTCGAATGACGCACACACACATTTACACAATTTCTGTATAGCATCAGGCCTCAGCCAGCTCTGTCGGTACACAGGCGTTTACGCAGACATGTACGTATTATGTTCAGAAATAAGAATTGGCGATTTAAAAAATCTAAAGATTGAACTAAAGAATTAAAAGACTATTACGTTAATATTGCTTGTTGAATAATCTGATAAAAAACCAAATTGATTGCGTGTATATTAGTATGGTTTTAATCGTTAAAAGAAATTTTCAGATATATCTTTGTGATTTTTTCTAGCATATATCCTGAAAATATCATATATTTTTCTGATTTTGTTTACTGCAGTGGATCATATTATACCTTAAGGCATTATAAAATTTGCGTTTAGCTCCCGTAATCGCCTTAATGCCCACAAAAATGCCACTTACGAGTACATATGAGAATTATGCAGATGAGCGTTGTAGTTAAAGAACGTAATGCAAAAACTTATTTTATTTTATGCATATTATGAATAAGACCATAAGAATATTAATTCGAACAAAGATTGAATAAAAAATGGAAGTATATGAAAAACTAACGCGAGCGGGCTGTAAGGAGTGTAAATATGTTGGAGTGGTTTGTGAGGGAAGGACCTCCAGCTTGCTCCTTATGAATATTTGAAAGCACGTGCTCAGCCACGTGTACGAGTTTGTAGCGGGAGAACTTCATAGAAGATTTTAAATTAAAAAGCTATGCTGTAAGGTACATGAAATAATAATTTATATATGTCGTAGGATTTTGACGAAAATCGGAAATTTGATTAAAAGCAATGATCAAATGATCAAAGATGACCTGTTTGGGATTATTATGAAATAAACTTGAATTACTTTGATTATACTTTAGAGCATGATTATAATGAAATACACAAAATAGAATTAAAAAAAAATATTTATATTCAAAAGTATCGATCCAATGTATGTACAATGTACATATATATCGTAGTCTAATAGTAAAGTAGATCATGAACTATGACTTCCGTTCACATAGCTTAAAATACATAAGCACCTTCGAATAATATCACGACAGTTCTTATTGCACCCCTCATAACGCTGTGTTATCAGGTAGTGCTTTACTCTCGATACGTCAAGGTCAAGCAACTTTGTGTCCTTACGAGTAAAATGCCTCTATCATAACCATATTGCACTTATATAATAATATGAGTAGCCATATATTGGAAGATGTTTTCAAGCTTCTGGACTGGAAAGGATACGGTATCAACATCAATGGCGAGTACATCACTCACCTTCGATTTGCCGACGATATAGTCCTTATGGCAGAATCACTGGAGGACCTAAGCACTATGCTCAATGACCTCAATAGTGTTTCCCAACGGATAGGTCTTAAGATGAACATGGACAAAACAAAGATCATGTTTAATGTCCATGTCACACCTATGCCGGTAGTTGTTGGGAACACTAAGCTCGAAGTTGTTGACGAGTATGTTTACCTGGGACAAATAGTCCGACTAGGTAAGTCCAACTTCGACCGAGAGGTCAATCGACGGATTCAACTCGGTTGGGCAGCGTTCGGGAAATTACGGCACATCTTCTCATCAGGTATACCTCAAAACTTGAAAACGAGACTGTACACCCAGTGCGTGTTGCCAGTGATGACATACGGAACTGAGACGTGGTCCTTCACTGCTGGCCGGATGAGGAAGCTCAAGGTCGCTCAGCGAGCTATGGAGAGGGCTATGCTCGGAGTTTCTCTGCGTGATAAACTCAGAAATGAGGATATCCGCAGTAGAACCAGAGTGACCGACATAGCCCAACGGATTATTAAGCTGAAGTGGCAATGGGCCGGCCATATAGCTCGAAGAACCGACAACCGATGGGGAAGAAAGGTTCTCGAGTGGCAGCCTCGTACCGGCAGGCGAAGTGTAGGGCGTCCCCTCACTAGATGGAGTGACGACCTGGTAAGATATGCAGGAAGTCGATGGATGCAGGTGGCTCAGGACCGTGCTTTGTGACATTCGTTGGGGGAGGCCTATGTTCAGCAGTGGACTTGTGAAGGGCTGTAATGATGATATATCAAGAAAACATTCTAATTAATCAATAATTTTATATTGCTTCTTTGAAAAAAAAAACGATTTGAAAAAAATTTACTAATTTACTTAATTTACGTGAACGTCCGGTTGTCGTTTTTGTATGTGGCCAATAGCTCCTTAAAAATTAACGTATCAGGACCGGATTTTTTTTATTAGCTTCAGAATTACATCAACTGGTTCCCAATGGCCTAGTACGCTTAGTTTGTTAATAAATTTATTTTCAACTTTTATAAGTTTGATTGCTATTAAAAATTTAAAGCCGTTGATAGACAAAGGACAAATGTACCATACAGCCGTATCGATTTTATACTTCGTGTAATCGATTTATTTTGGTAAACATATTTTTTTTCCCTGTACGTGACAGTTCCTGTTTAAATAATAGAGCGCTAAATTTAAAACACGTAAATAATATATTTTAAAAGTCAGGAATACAATTTATTTTTTTCATCACAATTAAATGAAACCGTTATAAGGCGTGCACTTTTGGATCTGCCAAACTATTTAGAATTATAATCAAAATTATAATAATTCTAAGTTGAAATTAAAGCAATACGTGGAAATTGATATGTATATTCATAAGTCAAATGGAGTGTCGGATTTTTGAGATTTAGAATAAAATAGAATAGAATTGTATATTTTGTTTTTCAATATAGATTACAGGAATACAGTCTATTGAAATTCATTTATGCTTTACCACTGGCTCTGAAAAAAAACTCCGTTCTGGAAAGAACCAACAAGAAACCTAGGGTAAGCTTTTTTTTTTCAAAATGTTAATTTACGGTTTTTGGAAAATATTGAATTATTTTATGGGGGTCAAGGCCTGAGTAGCGAGCGTTTGGTAAGGCTTGAATTCCTCCTACGCTGACATCGGTCGCGTACGACGGTCGCGCGTACTAATGTATATTGTGTTCTATATAGCCCCACACTGCGATGCTGACGACAGCGGCGCGTATTTTGCTGCACGCTGTACGCGACCGACCGTACGCAACCGACGTCAGCGTAGGAGGAATTCAGGCCTAAGACGTATTTGGATAAACATAAAATCCGACCTTTAGATTGTCAAGTGTATGGTATTTTCGTGACTGCCTCGTTGGACTAGTGGTCATCAGTGCGACTGCTGATTAAGTGGTCGTAGGTTTGAAACCCGGCCAAAATCTGTTGTAGAGGTTTTCTGCTAGGAAATTATCAGTAGCAGCCCAGAGATGTTACGATGGCGATGATGGCAGGATGGGTTTTTTCACATCCGTGCCCTAGAGAGCACTTAAAACCGTTGGTCCTGTCTCCTGATCTCTTTCCGATCGTGTCGGATTACCATCCGTCTGACTTTGAAAGTGAGCGAATGGAGAGTGAAGTTTGCGCACACACTTGGGCATTATAATTCCGTCCGTGACTGAAATTCGGTCTGGAGGACCTTATTATTAGTTATATCAAGTCAACACAAAATATGTCGGGGCCGGGTCGGATTAGTCAAAAAGTGCTTACAAAGTTAACATGTAATTCGAGTTTGTATCTTAGTACTTTAAGCGACGAATTTTTTTCCTACTTTTCCAAGTTCATTTACTTTATTTAGATGTCTTCCCTAATCTTTTTAAGTCAAGCGAATCTCGTTCGCCCAGGCATTAAACACTTAAATAACTCGTTTATCATTTTAGTTTTTTTTTTAAATAAAATTAACTCACCTGACTTTTTGGCACTATTCCCTTTTCCGCCATTCTTATTCCTTCTTGGGTAGAGATTAATTTTGCTCTGACCACACCCCATCACAGCTGTGGCTATTACTCTTCCATTTTTCGAATGACACTTAACCTTTTGTTCTTTTAACGTGTATATTTAATTTATTTAGATATATTTCTATTACGACATATTGACGTGAAGTCTTCTTAATTTATTTCTTTAATCTAAAAATATCCGTGTTCTAAAAAGTATGCCTTTTTGGTATATTTCCATTTGTTTTTGCTCATTGCTCGTCTTCTTTTAACTGTTTTCTTTAGTTGTCGTGGCTGGTTCGCATCCATAGTTTACCTGAAAAAAGAAAACACAGAGAATTAAAAAAAAACTATTATTTTATAATTCCACGTATTTATGCATTAACAAAATCCTCACAAGACGAACAATGTAATGAACAGATAAGGCTGAAATCTTTTTAAAGAAGTTTACTTCATTTAACTTCATATACGAGTGGCTATACTCACGTATACCTAATATCAAACAAAAAGTTGTTAGTGCAAGGTAGGTTCTTTTTCAATGCGAGATTAGGAAAATAGAAATCCGAACAAAAAAAACAAATTATCATAAAAGTTAAAGTTACAACCTTTAAATATTCCATTGCTGGGCACAGGCCTCCTCTCATTTCTGAGAGGGTTTTAGGGCAAGGAAATTTCCGCTGCGCTACCCTAACGCGTGTTGGCGAACTTAAATGTTTTCAAAACTTTTTTTTTTCCTATTTCTCGGACATGCAGGTTTCATCACGATGTTTACCTACACCGCCGAGCACGTGATAAATGAGCACTTAAAGTTAACAATTTCATTGGTGTCGGCGGGAATATTAAAAAATCATAATTACCCATATTACACAGAAACCCAAAGCTATATTATAATTACATCATTGAACGACGGAACTCGAGGAATGAGCGAACCAGTAACATTATTGCAAATGTTACCAGTGATCAAAGGATTCCATAGTATACACATAACGCATAGCTATAAATACCAGAAGGGACCGGACTCGGAAAGATAAACATTATTGAATATATAGCAAAGACTTGTAATATGCTATTAATAAAATACACGTTGAATTGCAGAATCGTTATTAGTACTTATCAACTTGGTTTTTTTTTTACTGTTGTAGACAAACCAACCATTCGAACCAAACGGTTAGTTTTGACGTTCATTAGGCGTATAGCGAAGGAGAAGAATAATTTAGTCGCACCTGTCTTTCCATCTGACTGAAATGTTTCTTTTCTGCCGACTTCCAAATAGTGGACGGTACTCAATTCGACTGTATGTTTTTTTTATGTGTGTTACCTCATTACTTTTTACTGGGTGAACCGATTTCGATGGTTCTTTTTTTATTTGAAAGCTGGTACTTCTCGTGTGGTCCTATATGAATTTGATCAAGGTCAGACCAATGGTTTTTGAGTTATTCTTAATAACTTATATTGAAGTCGGCTGTACAAATTTTTTTTATTTTATATAATTGTCTTTAAAAGGAAATGCGGGTAATCTATTCTCCATACAAATGCTCTCGCCTATTTTTTTTTCTTGTTTATGACCTTACAGCAATGAGTTTTTACAGTAAAATAAATATCAATCTCTACTATGTCCCTATGTTTTCCTTTTTGTCTCTATAAGCATTGGAACCCTTACAAAATATTCAAAATTGCCTATTTAGACCTCTGTCAACAGAGGCTTAGTGTTCAAATTTGATAACTAATAATGAAAAAAGAAAAACATAGGGACACTGTATATTGTTTTTATCCAGTTTATGAAATATCTTTTTAATTGGTCTAATAGTGGAGGACGAAATGATAGAGAGACAAAAACTTGAATAATGTCGTTTTACTTAGGCTACTCAGTCGGATCTGCAGTTGCAAACATTCCTTGTCGGCGTCGAGCGCTCGCAGAGCGACAACGTTAGTTTCTTCAAATATCTAATTTTCAAAAGTCTCTCGGTCCGCATTTAATCTTAAGGCATAAATAACCAGACGTTTGCTAAATTAAGAGAGCTTTACCATGTTCGCGTGCATCACCTTATCATCAGGTGGAAGAGTAGTCAAGAACTGGCTTAAAATGGTAAGAAAACGAGCACTTCTGGTTAGAAAAGCCTCTTTACGATCTAGTAGTTCAATCCATTGCATAACTTACAAGTGATTTGACGCAATAAGGTTCCTTTTTCATCTAATATTTACTACTGGACGTAGGTCTATTTTTAAGTAGCTCGTTAGTTATTGTCATATTATTATAAACAAGTGATTTTTTTTAATTTTGTACTGCAATAATTGAATATGCCACTTTTTTCATATTCCTACATTGTCATCCAATTCTGAGCTATGTTCGAAATTTAAAGCCTCTAGCTCATCGCGGAGTGCATGAAGTTTGAGTTGCAAGATTCCACCCTGAACGACAGACAGACAGACGGACAAACAAGAAAGTGATTTAATAAAAACGTGGTAAAAATGCACAGTCGGAGCCAAATTGACTCAGAAAATATTCATCACCATCATTACAGCCTTTCAAACAACAAGTTCCCTTCTACAACTCCACTGCTGAACATAGGCCTCGCCCAAGAAATGCTAGTAAGCACGGCTCTGAGCCACTTGCATCCGTTGATTTCCTGCATGTCTTACCAGGTCGTCACTCTATCTAGTGGGCCTTTTTTTACATGGGGAAATGCCTACACATACCTGCCTCGCGGGGGCAAGGACGGGTTATGTCGGACTCGCACCGACTAAAACCCCATGGTGTTCCACCTTCGTCACATATTGGCAGGGCCACGGGAACGCTTTCGCACACATCCGCTGCCCCACCTGCGCTGGCCACCCCATGGCGGTTTCTCCTCGGGAGAGGACTACTCCTCCCTCATTTCCTTCTCTGGTAAGGAGCACCAGAACACGTGGCGCGCCCTCCTCCTCGGCCTCCAATTTCATATGCACAACGGATGCCCCCGAGTCCGATGCGCGAAGGCCGTGGGGCCAGGAAACAATAAGCACTCAGAAGCACCAGCCTTCCTGACCTCAGCCGCGGATTTGGTCTATGGCTCCTGTAATACCGACACTCCTCTCTCCCCGCAGCCCCACCACCACAACATCAATTAACGGTGCGGCCCCTTCAGAGTCGCGGAGGATAGGGCTAGTGGCGCATCGCCATACCAACACTCCTCTTCCTGCGCGACTCCACCTCAGCTGCAGCGGTAGGGGGAGAGGACACCCCTCTCTTAGCAGCCCACCGACACACATCCGAAGTGGGCTCGCCAAGCCCACTCGGAGTGGCCCCCTCGGGCCGGCCCTAAACCCCGGGCCAGCCAAGGGGTTCCTCTAGTGGGCCTACACTTCGCCCGCCGCGCCGGTACGAGGCCGCCACTCGAGAACCTATTTTCCCCATTGGTTGTCGGTTCTTCGAGCTACATGGCTGGCCCATTGCCACTTCAGCTTACTAATCCGTTGGGCTGTGTCGGTTACTCTGGTTCTACTGCAGATATTCTAGGTTTTAAGTCTATCACGCAAAAAAACTCCCGAGCATAGCCCTCTCCGTAGCTCGCTGAACGACGCGTTCCCGTAGCCGTTTAGCATCCTCATACGGCTAGCATTGAAGGACCACATCTCAGATCCATAGGCCATCACTGGCACACGCACTGGTTGTACAATCTTATTTTGAGGTATGCTTGATGAGAAGATGTGTCGTAAATTCCCGAACGCTGCCTAGCCGAGTTGAATCCGTCGATTGACCTCTCAGTCGAAATTGAACTTACCTAGTCGGACTATTTGTCCCAGTTAAACATACTCGTCAACTACTTCGATTTTAGTACTCCCAACAACTACCGGCGTAGGTGTGACGTAGACACAAAAAATAAGCTAATCAGAAATTCAATAATATTTTAAGTGTGAAATAAAAAAAACAATGATCGTGTAGTGGCGGTGTTAGAATATCCACAGTAAAAAACCAGGAGATGGACAGTAGTTTCTTCCTAATAACAACTAGAAAATAAAAATAAAAACTACAGTTGCCAAATATCCCCCTAATGAGGATATATATTTACGATGGACTGTAATGGTGATGACAATAAAGGAAACAACTGTTACCAGTAGTATAAAAAATGTTTCTATTCTGAAAAAATATTTCAAAAATTTATATATTTTTCGACACATAATGGAACAGTGCGTCGCGCTCTATCCTGCTCCAAATCCTTTTCAAATATCAGACGGTACTGGCTATTACTTGCCCGTAATTCGAGTTGGGGTCGGCTAAACTAGACTTTTTCGAAGTGAAAACATCTTTAGGCACGTTGGGCACTTTTAGCGTGAACTGCAAAACACTGAACTTGCGTGACCGACACGCTCAGATTCATAGTCATCCATACATCCTTTAAAAAAAAAAACGTTACCTCCACACTAGGATTTTCTCCTGTATCGTGGGGGCATTATTCTGGATTCTGTCTGAGTCTTACTGGCAGAGTGCTTACTGGCATTTCTTGGGGGAGGCCTATGTTCAGCAGTGGACTTGTAGAAGGGAACTTGTTGTTTGAAAGGCTGTAATGATGATGATGAATATTTTCTGAGTCTGAGAGAGAGATGTTTGTCCTTGTGAAATTAGTTTACATAATTACATACATAAATTTCACAGGGACAAACATCCAGACCCGGAACAATTACTTGTAGGCCATACAAATACTTGTCCCGTGCGGGATTCGAAACCGCGGCCCTTAGCGTTGTGACTCATTGCTAAGCCACTGCGCCAAGGAGCCGCTAATTCATATATATTATGTACACGTGGGAGTAACACGAGGCTGCCACCACTGTCAAAATGTAGAAGAATATCGGGATTCCTGGTGTTTTTCATCTGAAAACTACTTTCGGCACGTTGGACACTTTTGCTTTTGGGATGGGGAAAAACACTAAACTTACGTAACCGTCACGCTCAGATAAATAAAATACAGATATATATATATATATATAATCTATGGCTCTTTTGGGATAGGAAAAAGCACTGAACTCGCGTGATCGTGACGCTCATATACGTATATACATATGTGTGTTAGATGCATA